GACACCTGAGACATACACGCGAAGTGATGCCACACAGTGAAGATGGGATGAGATTATCCCCAAAAGCAACACCAATTTCTGCTACTGCAAATTCTGGTGATGAAATACCATTGGTACCACCTTTCATACCAAGTACTGCAGTCAGTAAGGACCAATCAGACACAGTACCTTTGCAGAACACGGACAAGCCACATCCGGAATATCCACTTCAGCCTGCAGCAGATAAGCGGGAGATTTCCCCACCGGTGACCACCACTCAATCTGGACGAATCGTTCGACCACCTACACATTACCAGTGAACAAACTCTTAATTTTCTTTTTTTGTAGTTTTTATTTTAAACTAGGATAGTGACATTCAGTTACGTTTACATTTTTTTTGTTTCCTGAAGAAGGGCAGATGTAACGGTATCGGTGTTACCATTCTATTTACTTCCGGTCCACATTTACGTCATAACTACCATGGCAACAAAAACTTTAGAGACCATGCTTTCCGGTTGTTACGTTTTTGTCGGACATCGATTAAACAAGAGCTGTTTTACCTCACCTGTGTGAGTGTCTGTTGTTCCTATAAACAACCCTACAAGCTTCCTTTTATTTGTATACTAAACAAATGGCTGCATTGCTTAGCTCTCTGATATTTTCCACTTTTCATATTCTTCGATCCTCTTAACTCTCAAGCAACCACTTCTGAAACTTGGCACTTGCAATTGGCTGGTCAGTGCTGTAGAACCACAACTGGCGGTTTTATCAGTGAGCCAAATTCACATCGTGGTGCGCCATGTTCTTACTTCACAATTTGTTGAAATCTGTCATGTTCCAAATTAGCAACTTAGTAGATGTTGCAGTAGCAGTAATACCGAGGTAAAGGCATGAATAAGTTTCTATTTACAATCAACGGCGCCTCCACAAACTACAGGAACTGTTTGTGGTACACAATGTCGAGTTTGGAAACCTAATTACGTATATAAACTTACATATAATGTAGACGTAAGATTATTAATTGGTCTTAACCAGGAGCTTGTGACCAAGAAAGGGTTACAACCTTGTGTTTAACGTACAGCTGTGTATGTGAAAGGCGATCCACTTTCAAAATCGTTCCTAATTGACGACAAAACCGAGTAATTTTGGTTTCTATTGTCAAAAGAAGAATACCTTGTTTTTCCCGTTGAACTGCTTGATTCGCTTGATGTTCTTTCCAAGCACGCGAGAGCATTTTGGACGGAGTTCCTTTACGCCTAAGCGAACAGTTCTGTAATGAATACAATGAGTACAATACATGTCCTCTTACATAAGATATATAATAAAAGACACGTTATGTACGGAGAGGCATATTGTAACCACGTTCTCTGAAATCCTTACCGAAAGACTTTGCGATACTCTGGCTTGTTTGGTCATGTTCTGATTGAATTTTGCTGATATCACTACTATACTTTTGTCTTTATTTTCTTGATATGGCCGGGATCGAAAGCTTTGTAACAGTAGTGAAACGGCAAAGGTCGGACTGTGATAAATACATTTTCGTCTAGATCTACAGAATATAAATATTTGATCGTTGAGCCGCATGGTGATAGAAAGTTACTTGCTCAGTAATGACGGAGACGGTTACGCATTGTGAAACGGAGAAAATTTAACAGTGTCCGCTACATGTACCTGCAGGAAATACCGTGTATGAATAAAGTTACCATTACCATTATCGTCCTGTATACGGTAGAGTTTTTCGACGGTTTACCCGAAACCTGTCCCCCACCACGCTCTATTAAACCCAAACAAGATCGATCCCCCTTTCTTTGACCCCATTTTTTCTGTTATTTACTATCAGCTAACTCGAACTCGGCTAACTCGAACTCCTCAAAACTTTCAAATTAATTCTGCTTCCCCCTGGCTTAAGTTTACCCTGATAACTCGAACTTAAACTTAAAACGTCAAAGTGTCAGAACATAGGTGAATGACACCTCTAATTCTATAATCACACTCGATACAAACATGATAACATTCTTGAAAACATAATTTATTTAGCTCAACTTTCCAAACCAAATGTTCTTATCAAAAAGTACTTATGAAACAAACTAACTGTAAGAAGGTGACCGTTGACTATGCATGCTTCCTTATTAATCATTAGAATTTAATTGAAATGAAACAAGTCCGATAATTCGAGCCATTTGTCGTTTCTCTTGGGAGATCTAGAGTATTGTACGACGACAAGTAACGAGGTCTTTCAAAGAAACTAGTTTTGTAATTCGTGTAAGCATAAAATTAGAAGTCAAAACGAAATACAAATTAGCATTTTTCTGAATAAGATGAAAACAGGAAAGTGTGAAGGTACAATCAACCAAAGAATGAGCGTTTAAACACGAAGGCGCGATATATAAGGAAGTCTTCCCTTGGAAGACGTAGGCTCATTTGTCACTCACCGTTGACCTGTGCGGGTCAAATTTAAATGCTGGTAGACGAAAAAAAGGAGCTAATGAGACATCTATTGATTACTTCCACCAGCATGGTGGCATGAGGTAACGTGTGAACCACCTACTTCGATATCACATTTACCTCCACAAATCAAGACAGTTTCCATTGGAGAAAGGAAATACAAATCTCAAAAATTCTTGTATTGTGATGAAGGCATAAAACAATTTTGAGGAATGCGCCCGCTATTCACTGCTTTGGAGTAGCTATAGCTCAAGCTGACTTGACTCTAAGAGTTCTACATCACACGACGGTTGATTGACAAATGGTCCAGTGGGACCTAAGGCTCCTTTTAAAGCTCGCCTTCGTGTTTAAGAAACCATTTTAGTCACCTTACCATCAAAACTCGAGTAAACTCTTCCCTGTTGTTATCGCGAGACAATTTCATATTCAGTACCTGTGTCCAGGTCAGGTCATTAGTGGATGGAGCGGTTATTCCTTCAGGAAAACACGATCAAAGTCGGTGGTTTGTTCCAGAATTTTAAAGTAGTCACCCGATCGACATTGGTTTCTACTTTCTTGTAACAAAAATAAGACATAATGGGGGGAATGTTGCTATCATGCCCTTGGATTTTGCACGCCATGCGCACCTCATTTATTTTCTGAAATACATAATGACATCAACTTGTCTCCAGGCCTTTGTGCCAAAACCTAATCAGTAAAAATTGGTAAACAGTACAGAAAAGATTCCCCTTTTAATCTTTCTTTGCATGGATTAGTTTAAATTAATCTCTTAAAAATAATGATATATTAGTTCGTCATGTACAATGATGTTACTTTCGCGTTAAAGGAACCATCGAAAATTTAACTTTAACTCATTGAGACATCAGCGTCTTTAAACTATTACATCACTGCATATGAACAAAGATAAAAAGGAAAACAGCTAAGCACTCTTGAACCAGGCCACCACGTTGTTACAGAAATCACGTTAACTTTACCTTAAATGAATCCCCTCGAAATAAGAAACTAGAGAAGACTTGTTTCCGGTCGTTGCTAAAACAGACATGGGTGGAACTCACTGCATCAACAGAGTCTCAACGTTCTCAACATAACCCACGTCCTTGATATGACATCATTTCTCTCATAACTAACATATAACAAGAATTTGGGCGGATCCATCGCACCAGTCACGTGTGATATCAGAACGTTCTTATCTCAACTGTCATCACACCTTCGGTTTGGCATGAATTTTGTGAAAAATGCTGTTAAACTTGTTGTCAGGGAAAAGCAACTCCAGAATACCTTCCCACAGTACATAAAGAAGACGCTTGTTTAGGCTGCAGTACTGGAAGGTGTCGAACACACTGTAAAGGAGAGGAACCACTTAGATAATGAACTGTTTAGAAAGCCAAGGACAAAAACTATTTCATGATATTTCAAGTAATATATCAAAAACGAGTGCGACGTGTTTCATCAGGGGTTCCAAACACCGAGAAACAGATGAAAGCACGAGGCCGCAGGCCGAGTGCTTTTATTGTTTCGAGGTGTTTGTAACCTCTGACGAAACAAGAAGCACGAGTTTTTGGTGTAGCTTCTGAAACGAGTTGCCGATTATTGTTTGCAAACAATAGCTAGAGAATGTGATAAAAATGGTTTCGTTGGAATGTTCCATTTGAGAGTTAGCCAACTTATTACAGTTTATCAATTCAGTTTACTGTGCGAGATGGATGAGTCAAGTTCGATTTTTCGGATTCTCAAAACTGGTATACATGGGAGTAACTTTCGATAAATGTATTGTTAAACTCGTCATAAATTCTACGAACTGCGATAACATTTCAAATACCCAACTATTTTGTGACAATCTTTGAAGGAAATAAAATTTTTTTGTTTGCTTGAGATGTCAATTACTTCAAATTAATTTATTGATGTCATATGATTTTCCGAGAATCAGTGGACATTCGGATATTGTATCCAAATCTCTAAAGATTTTTATCCAGTTTTTCATTGGGTATCCAAACACATGCACGTGATGTGGTATACATGCAGTGATTTGTAGTTGACTTTATGAATTATTAATGAGTTTGAGAAAGATAGAGGATGAAATCGAGTCAAGAAAGAAATCAGTGCAGTGGTAACTTAATATTCTACGTAGCAATAAATTACCAACATCGTTAACAATTTCTCAAGGGTAAACCTGAAGTATTAGCATTAGGTTCCTGAATAATAGTAGACTTTGTAATAGTCAGGTTTCAGCGTCCAGGGCAATAGCAATAACACTCAAAGCATTATAAATAGCGTAAAAAAAAATACATTCAACAGAATCCGCGTACCACAGTTTGAATTTAGAGAAGAGAACAAGATCGAACATACCAACAAACTCCTTCCATTGCCACTTCTGAGCCAAGAAAGCGTTTAAGTTCCTCTGTGGAAAAAAAAAATTGAAAATATCAACGGTAATTAGGTATTGCAGAAGACAGGGTTTTTTATTGGGCGCGAAAATATTTCTCCGCAAACATTATCTGTTGTGTGAGGCGAGTAGTTTTCCTTGAGCTCCGCTCTCGGAAAACTGCGAGCTTGAGGGGACAATTAATGTCCGGCGATTACAACTAATCCAGCATTTCGTACTAAAAAGGCTTGGTTTCTCCATCTACAGTATAAGAATTGGTCCAAAGACTAAGGTTGCGTAGAGTTTCTCTTAGTGCAAGGTATCACTTATCAGGCTCTCTCAGTCAGAAAGCAAACAAGTGGACGCGCGAAAAACGGCAGGGGGCGGGCAAAGAAAAAAATTGTGAACGGAGACGAGCGTTTGTGGCTTGATCGCCCTTTTGATCGTATCCACTGACTGAGAGCCTAAATATGAGGCAAAACTGAAGGAAGCGAAATAAAAAAAGGGAACCTGTCTGCAGAGCTTTAAGACTAAAACCTGGAATCGCCCAGTGTGTCTCTAACGACCCAGTCAGGTATTGTAGAAACCGAGCACGTCCTTGAACCTAAGAAACACTCAAAAAAACGCATTCTTTGCCTTTCTCACCAGGAATACTTCCAAAAATCTTTGTTTTAGCCGCCACTCGTGTTCTAATCTTGACATCTTTTTTCCTTTCTGGGAAGGTTTCGGCCAAAATTCCACCAGGCCAGTAAGAATCTCTGAAACAAACCAAACACACAACTAAATTAATTGACTGTAAAGTACAGCTGCTGGGAAGTTAATCGTGGTTAATTTATTTCAATCAACTTGGAACATGTCGAATCTCAAAGACTCTTCAATTAAATACGTTTTCGGTTTTTAACTTTTTGCACCTGTACTCAGAACAAAGAATGAAGAAATGGCATAAAAGGTATCGAACTGAGAGCAACGTGACGGCAGAAGCAACTACCCAGAGATCTTATTGGATATCAGAGGACTTCTGGTAGCGTATTCGAAATGTCAGTCACACTACTCTGTACTACTCTCACCCGGATGATCAGACCACACAATTAAATATAAACCTCACAGTTGAGCACACGGTTAAAGCCACACAGCCATACATTTTCATTCAGTGACTTTCCCTCGTATGCTTTCACTCAAAAGTGAGTTTCATTCAATTGTAAACAAGGTTTGCACTGTAATGTTCCGTCGACTAACCGGTGAAACAAACAACAAAGAACCAGAGAGTGCAGCTGCGAGGCTTTACCAACAACAGTTTAAGGCCTCTTTCGAACTTTTTTATTGTGCAAGATATTTAGGATCATCTCTTAATTTCGGCTTCAAAATTATTACAATCCGACCAAGGAGAACGGTCTATCCGATGTTGTTCAGAGACCGTTACAGTGGTGCATTTTTCAAAACGACCTAAGCCACGAAATCAATCAAAATTCATCCAGTTGTGTTGAAGACTGTCACATTAACGAAGTAAGGGGAACATATCAAAGTAGGGCCATAGTTAGCGACTACAAAAGGGACAGCGGCGCGTTGGTATGAATAGGAAAAAATAATTAAAAAAATTAATACTAAACCTTCGTTCTTTCTTAACAATAAAAAAAACAGATGCGTAACATGAACTTTGCGTCGCCTTCCTCGTTTACAAAAGTTAGTTTCATTGGTTTTACAACTCTTGATAACTGTGAAAATGTGGCTAGAGCGGTGATAGCTGCGTACATTTTAACCACACCTGATCCTTACTACCGTTAACTGATTCTTAATTTAACTTCGATGTCACCAGTTGATGGAGTGTTTCACCCTTGGCTAATATCTCGGAATGTTTCCTTGTAATGTTTTCATTAATTGGTATTTGAATTCAAACTGTTACTCACCTGAAGAGTTTGACATATTCTGCTATCTGTTCTGCAGAAGTCATATAGTTAACATAGTCGACGATTTTCCTGTGAAAAAGAATAAAACTCTCTCTCACCACAGGATCAACAACAGCGGCTAGTTTAACTTGTGGAGTATAGTTGTCGTTATAGTCATCATCACTTGTCCAAAATAATTAGAAAAATAAACTATTACTTAAATATATCAGCCATTTGTGAACAACCATGATGTAATCAATGCCAACATAGATCAACCCGTTCGAGACGAATACCTATTCCCTTGATCAGGTGACTGGATAAATAAGGCTTCAAAATTAATTATCAAGTCAATCGAGCATTAATCAAGAAGTCTGAGAAGTTACCGATTTATTCTATCTCCATAAGTTGTTTGGATTATTTGCCTCAGGAAAACAATGATACGGCGCCTCAGCCACAGATTTCTGAATAAAGAAATTTTTAACTTATGAGTTCAGCTAAACATGTATTTGACATAAGAGTTGATCCCAAGATAAGGATCAGCACAAAGAAGGAAAAAGTACAGCACAAAGATGCCGGTATTTCTCTAGGTCTTTTCACTCAATCTTCATGAATCCTTTGCCGCTTGGACTGTTGTACGCAGATCGCTGAGAACCTACCGTTTACTTAGGCGGATGTTTTGTTCCACCTAACTGCAAGAGCCTGGGTCTTTTAACGAGTGCGAACGGGAGGGAGAATTGTAACTAGATTCCTACCTTTGTCTCAGGTCAAATATTTCGTCCATGAGTAATAACAAGATTCTCAAAGGAATATTATCATCCTCCTGAAAAAAATAGCAAAAAACACTGTAAATATTTGTCTATCATGCACTTGAAGCACTGTAAGAAATGTTATTTACCGGTTATTTACTCACATTTCACCTTTTGTCAGGCATGGAATACTGTGATTCCACTGTGGCATGACAGAGTAATAACTTGTCTCAAATGAGTGAAGCATTTTGAAGGACAAATATAAAACAGTGATCGACGGTGGAACAGAATGTTTCAGTGCTGTAGATGCCAAAGAAAATCATTCAAAAAGAATGAAAATTTGTCAAGTCTCTTGAAGGACTTCTCTTAGTGATTAACATTTCAGCGTCCTGAGAAAGAATTAACTTTAGGACCTGGGTTGACATCATTGACCGAAAATGAAAACGCTACCGTAAACATCTCTCTACACGAAAATAAAGAAAAACAAGCCTTTGTTTTCACCTCCAGGTCAATCTCTGCATACAATTGTCTTGTATCTTCCTTTAAGTCACGTCTATTCCCTGGCTGAAAATTGTGAAGGCAAAAGGGTCAACAACGCTTCTCTGAAGATGCATCAACATTACATTTGACTATAGTTTAATAAAAACTCTTGAGCAACATCTCAGGAATGTATTTAACAATTTAATAATTATTATTTGGAGAATTTCCCGAGCGTAGACGTCAAACATTCTTGCGAGTCACAAGTGTCTCTTGAAGATGCAGCAGGGACGATATCGTAGATTTGATTATTATGTAATCAATAAAAAACCGATAACTGACTAGATGTATAAGCCGTACCTTGGTGAAAATCTTTTGTACCCCTCCTGACAAACTGTCTGGCACAGTCTTTATTGCATGGGATACATGACGAATGGGAGCCACAAGGGTATCAACCTGCATGTGACAAACAATATAATACAAAGCATTAAAAGAACACAACCCTAAACACATAACGACCTGAATAGACTTCCCGCAACCCTGGGAAGTAGATATTAAGCCTTCTACTTACACAAAAGTTAATGGGGAATTTTTAAAACAGCAGATCTTGACTTAAAACCTACAAAGTTGTTTCCAGCTCCACCAATGCCCCTTTAATATGGGAGAACGAAAATGAAAAGGTCGGTTGTAAATAACGTTTAAGTCAGTATTAGACAAGGGTGATAAAGGTGGCGAAGGAATACATCGACGAGCTTTCTCCCTGTAAAACTGAATTTTGAACTAATTTAATTTTAAATGACACGTTCAGGTCAATCGTGTGCGTGCAAATAAATCTGATGTATATTACTCAGACTTAACAAAGGTTAATCGTTCACCCGCAAAATGATACTCCACAGTTTCACTTGTAATCACTTTATAAAAAGTTGTTTAACATATTTTTCTCAAAAATTTGACGATTGAAGTTTGATATTGTTGACAAAAATATGAAAAAACTGTGCAACAAGATGTGTGGCGTAGAGTGCTCCTGATCATGATGGGGCAAGGTTGTAAACACACCTTTCTTGCAAACTGTCCCTTCTCACGAGCATATAGTCCAGGTATCAGAAAGTTGTTTGCAATTTCAAACAGACCCAAGTGCTGGCCAAGAGTTTCTGTGGACAAAAGATTCTGCAAGAAATGATTCAAAAGTTAAACTTCCAGACTCATGAACATGAAAAGCTCATCGGAAGAAGGCTAGGTATGTTTCTATGAGCAGTTACTAGTTTGCTGAAATGCTACCACGCGGCTTCACTGAGTCGATAACGTAATTGTTTCTCCCTAACTTCGTTGAGGATTCAATATTTCGGAATTCCAATTGAATTTTAACTGTAGTAAGTTTCGCTCTTCCCCATCGCTATGATGACAACTCTCCTTACTCGAAGCTTAAACTTCCTACTGAACTGAACTCCATTTCCCAAACATGCAAGTTCTGGTTTGCACAGTAGTTTTTTTTAGAGTAACAAAAAAAGTAAAAAAGAAATCACAACTGAACAGTGGCGGATCCAGGGGGAGGGTCCGGGGGGTCCAGACCCCCCTTTACAGACCTGACGCTTACAATTTTGAAACTGAAATTCTTACATCGACAGGATCGTATATCACTTTTTAACTGGCTGATCTTTTTAATGAATCCAAGTAAACGGTACTGAAGCGGCCAAGGAATTATAACGTGCAACCGCCACTGGTGGGAGGGGGTGTGTGGGGGGAGGGGGTGTGGGGGAGAAGTAATTTGCCTCAAAAGTCCAACAGTCCTTTCTGAACCAAAGTTTGGACCCCCCCCCCCCTAATCAAAAATATGGATTCGCCACTGCTGAATGCTGATCTCTCACCTGTAAATACGTGTCTAATGCAATTCGTCTTTTCTCAAGAAATTTTTTATCCAAGTTGTGAAATGTTCGTTTTCCAGGAAGAAGAAGAGTGGAAATCGAGCCAAACTGTACAGGTGAAATGAGTGAATAAAATAACTCCGACACAACATGATGTTGGAATTGAAGGTTTGGTCTCATCCCCCCACCCCCTGCAACGCTAACAGTACCTGAATAAGCCTCTCCCCAACTCAAGATCTTAAAGAAACAATAAGAGAGACAAATAGATAAATGAACTATTTATGAAAGTTTTCAATAAACTATCGAAAAATAAAAATGTCATAGCAAAAGTGAATGACATTTGGCCGGCTCTCTGTTATTGGTTTCAAATGGAGAAAATAACGAGAAAGTTGTTCATGATATTACGAGTCAATACTGCAATCTTCACGCTTCTACCCTAAAACAATCACAATGGTTAACTACTAGTTACAACAACAAACCCCTCACCTTTTCCTTTAGATGCAAATGCAAATCATCAAAATCACTGTAACGTCTGAAAACTTTCCAAGATTTTGTTCCCTCTGAAGATGCGCGGTAAACGTTGATGGTGTATTAGGCATATGTTTTGCCATCTTCTTTACAAGCACCTACAAGGACGAAATATTGTAACATTGCGAGCTTTTTCTGGCACAGAAAATTGCAAATATTTCGGACGAAATAATAATGCTAATTCAGTAATCGGTTAGAAACCCGAACATAGTTTAAATCATTAAAAAACCGTGAATTATAAGTCAAGAGGATATCGCTCTTTCTGAGTTAGTATTTTGAAAAAAAGTAAAACACTACAAAAGCAAGTTGCTTTTTGAGTAACTGTGTACACTAATTCAGAAAGTACCAGTCTGAGTGATAGTAGCATTCAGTCTTATGTCATCATCGGGGGTCCATAGCTTTATGGTCGACGTACTCTCCTGGTAAAGGAAATATGAGAAATTGTCGATTCCATAGTCAGTAGGGGTTTGACAGAATCTCGTGCGAAATCTTAAATCTAAAAGATCAAAATAAAGACACTATAATAATGTGTACCATCTATAATAATTTCCAAATTTACTCCTAGAACCATAGTTGTGTTCATTAATTCTCCTATGTGTTGACATTGACAAGTAGTGCAATCGGTTACTCGTCAACAATAACAATATACAATGTATATATGAAGTTCATACATTTTGAACTGCGATTATAGATACGTATGATGCACGATCCTCGCAGTAGAGAACGCTATTTATGCAATAGCGAAAATCAGACCTGAAAAAAATCAGGCCTGTACAGGATTCGAACCACTGACCTCTGCAAAACTAGTGCAGTGCTCTACCAATTGAGCTAACAAGCCAACATCGATATCTTAACCGCAACTAAAATTGCTTTTTCGATCAAGGACTGACTACTCCAGACTGCTAGATTTTAAATTTTGGCTGTAATACCTCAGGGTGCGAAAATTCACTGTCTATGCCGGCGATCTCATCTGAAATGCAACATAAAAAGTGAAGTATAAGAACTTGGCAGATCGTGGCAGTACATGTTCAGGCACCAAAAGAGAAGTGTTATTAGTAATAACATACAATCTCTAGAAGGAGATACTAAAGGTCAAAATTAAAAAATTACCATCATCCGCAACATTGTCATCTAAAAAAGTGGAAAAAATGAAGTTACTGACTAGAAATATATTGCCATCAAATAAGCCATATCCATCACTTCCCATAATCATGTCAATTACAGTATGGCTACCATGTATCAAGCGGACCTGCTTTAAGCAGGCAGTCTGTGGCACAAAAGACACCAATTCATGATATCGTGCTCATCCCCCTCCAATAATTGTTTTATTATACATATATTATACCATTTGATTGTTTTATTATACATATATTATACCATTTGATTGTTTTATTATACATATATTATACCATTTGATTGTTTTATTATACATATATTATACCATTTGCAAATGAAGACACTTCTCTCTGAGTCTGCACAAGTTTGAGAACACTACACGGAGGAGGGGTTGGACACTAAGTAAACTTTGAATTTGACACGATAAATGCCATGCTGCAGATATTGCATTAAACATGTCCACTACAAGCACCAATAAATATTGGTTGAATGCTTTTGACCAATCAGATTTTGCATAGAAATTCTACTGTATAATAGTTGTAATTGTCTCTAAAAATGTCACTCGTTTTGGAATCTGATTTTTTGTGAAAAATAAAAAATTGATTCAACTTGTCCTTAATGGTCATCAAGTGATAATAACATTATAAACATTTTTAACATGCCCAGCATGAGGACACCCTTAAGAGGGTGACAAAATTTGGCATATTATTACAAACGTACCTGGTTTGTCTAGAGGTATTTCTAAATCAAGAAGACATCTACAATGTAAAGAAAGTTCTCACTATTAATATTACAAGCAAATCGTGTTAATTATCATACCCAAGTATTATTATCAAACCCACAACAGGTCACGCTTTAATCTATCCCAATGCTACAGCAAACCTAAATATTTAAATAACAATCTGCCTTATTTTCTGCATTTTTGTAAGTTACTACAGTAGTACTTAATTTGACCTCAGCCACTACACACCTCACATAAGCTTTGCTTTTCAGGAAAGACCCATAATATGATTCTCCTCCAAGGATTTCATAAACCTGCCCCATTTAAGAAATACAGCAATTAGAACAAACAGAAATACTCCTGCAGCTCTGGCCTAGTATAGGACACTATAGTTACGATTTCATTCTTCATTGGAAGGATTGCACTCGGGGTGAAACAACATAACTGGATGTCAGTAAATTGAGATGACTGTGAGTTCTTCAGGGTGTCCTTTCATCCAGTCAATTCCCTTTAACCAATGGAAGGAACACGGTGTGTACCTGTACTCAATTGACATGTGATGATTATGATGATAAATTCCACTTTCAGTAGTAACATGTCATTAAACAACACAGAGCACTGCCTTGTTGCCATGGCCACAAACATATTTTATCCCTGACTATCAGCAAGCGTGTTTTGAACAGCTGGGTTTCTCTTGCTAAATTTTCACCTGTGCCTGGCACTCATCAAAGCAACTTGGCGATGGTTCCTCCTGTGCAATATGCTTGAAAATTTTATTTGGTAACTCCTTTGCTAATGCAACTCTGGGGCTGGCCTATAAGTACACAAATAAGAACATCTACTGGCATAGTTTGACTTATGCTTCAAAACCTGAGGAGAATATTGCTAGCTTGCTTTGTTATTCTATGTGAATCGACAAAAATTCTGATGTTTTGGCAATGGGTAGCTACAACAACATTTATTTTGGGGTAAAAACCATGAGACTTGCCGTGCATAAAAAATTGTGGTACCCTCTTTATGGCCTCAATACAACATAAATCCAAGATCATTTTCAAATGACCACTAACCGTTTCTGACAAGTACTCATCAAAAATATTTTGAGCTGCCAATCTAAGCACTTCCAAATCTTCAGCCTGCATACTATGCTCCTGCTGAAGAAAGAGACCAAAATGTAATGATTCCTATCTGCATCTCCCATCCCAACCCAACCATCTAAAAAAAATTAATCTTGTATGCCTGCCTGCCTGCCCATCTTTGCATTATGCAGGAGTTGAAGGAGTAATCCACAGGAAGTAATTTAAGGTGGTATCTGCATGAGGCTAATTTGGCTGTTTCTGGCTTTGTTTTGTAACATTGAAGCGGTTAAGGAATTTAGCCAAAAAGCCTAACTTTTTAGAATAATTTACAGAATTCTCATGGATTCTGAAAAAATAATAGATCTGTGCTGACAGTTGTTGAATTCATGGAATGTAAAGAGTTTAAGGGGGTTCAAGGTTGTGGTCTAGCAGTGCCCAGTGGCCCCTGGCCCCCTACTTATGCTCTTGCGTGACTCAGGAATGTTAGTTTTTTCATAAATAGTGTATGTTGGGCACCCGGGTTTTCACAGTTTCAAAGCACTTAATTGGCTCACTTCAATTTTCCTTGGAGCACAGCCTTGGGATTGCTGTGGTGGCCAAGTTGAGAGGAATCTGTCACTGTTGCAAGAAACTTTAAACTTTTATAATGGAGATGCTAATGGAGATTTTGCAAACAATGCAAAGCATTTTTCACCAATGTGTCACATGATGAAAAAAAGAAACAATAATATTTTTTGATCAAAAATATAAATGTCGTCACTTTGTATATCCACTTCATTCATTGATAGCACACTGATTAAAGACCTGGTTTTCTCTAGCAACAAAAATAAAAATGACCTCAATGCAAGCAAAAGGATCAGATTTTTCCTTTGGCTTGTGCCTGCCCTTGTGCTTGTGTCAAGGCTGATTTCATAGTAAAATATGAGTTGTTATGCTTGTGATTATGCTTGTGTCACTTCACAAAAACACAGGCTTAATAGTCCATTGGAGGACAAGAATGGCAACAATGCTGCTAGAAATCTTAATGAAACAGGTGGAATTGGCTCTTAGTCAAGAATTTTACTTTCCACACTTTCAATATCATGTGGCATGACTGAATGGAATACTTAGTTTATATTTGATAGTTTTTGGTTGTGACATGTCCAGAAAATTAGAAACACCATATAAAATTTTTGGAATAAAAAAGGCTAATGAAAAAACATTCATGTTTTTGTTGCTAGGAAAATATAAGTATTCAGCTACTGTAGAGCTCTTTCCTCAGTTGCATTCATGGTAAGAAAGTGCTTTGTACTTTGTTATTGAATGGCTGCTTATGAAATGTACTGTATGTATCAGAAATGACAACCAAAGGAAATAGCGGATGAACCACAAACACTATTGGACCAGGATTGTATCTCTACTTTGCTGCAAGATTCCTCATTCAAAACCAAACTTCTATTGCATGATTTTTAAAACTGCACATGTCCAAATCATGACATTTTGCAAATAATATGTTACTTAAATGTTAATCCACACTATTTGAGAAAATAAAAGCATCCAGAAAAGGTAGAGTTAGTTTCCAGTACCACCTTAAGGGTTGCCCTTATGTAACCTTAAAACAATCCTTATGCCATACTTTGTCTCCACTATCACTCTCCCTGACGAGCTGCTGTTCCAAACACAGTGACAGCTGCTGCTCAGCAGTTACACGATAACTCTGCAACATGAAAAAAAATAAACTTGTCTTATCCAATAAATATTAATCCATGCAACCTTAGCCCAAAGAGAATGATACTGTAAAAATATAAAATACTTAATAAACTCCAAATTATCAGCTTTGGAACTTAAACCCTGGCTAGAGTGGAGAGGGAGGTTCAAAATATGACTTATGACTGAAAAAAAAACAAACAAAAACAAAACAAAAAGCAAAAAAAAGACAAAAAAACAAAAGGTTTACCTCAACTGCCAGCCAAAAGTAAAGATACACTTGTCCATTGATACTGTTCATAAACTCTACAAGAAAAAGGGGAACCCAATCAAACAGAATTGACAATTATGTTCAGTCATAAATAATAATAATAAAATTAATAATAATAATAATGATGATAAACAATAATAGCAATACTAATAATAATAATAATAACAGGCTTTACATGAAGGGGGCAATAGTAGGAACACTACCTCCTTCAAATAACCTCAAACAATTCCAGAAGCCTGGATGCCAACAATAAAAAAACACAACAGCAGGAGAGCCATGTACCAGTGGACCACAGAGGGAACCAGATCCAAAAGATGCACCAATCACAGCCATGCAATTCCATCCAATCACACCTGAGCACAACAGTATAAAGTTGATGCATACCCAAATAATCTCATCGCCTGAAGAAGACTAGCAGCATGCAGTGGAGACATCACAATCAACATCCAAAGTGACCACATCATAGTACTTGCAGTGATTTGTAAAACAACTAAACACTGACAATAAAGCTCAACAGGGGAGTGTTGTGTTTACCAGTACATCTAAAAAATGTGCCAAACATTTTGGAAGTGCCTTTCATAAGTGGAAAAATCAAGTTCATTGAATCCAAAGAAAGGTTTGTTTACCCTATGGAAATTTACGTATGATGCACGATCCTTGCAGTAGAGAGCGCTATTTATGCAATAGCAAAAATCAGACTGCAGTTCAAAATATATGAACTTCATATATACATTGTAACCAATGGAAATTGTTGATTCAAACAGTTAGTGAAGGTGCTCAGCCAGAAGGAAACAGCAGGTGGAATTTACATGCAGGTTATGCAGGTGAAAATGTCAGTGGCAAGAGGCCTCTACCTGCCAAATGTCTGGCTCTGTCTTTTGCAACTCCTGTTGCCATTACCCTGCCATCTATGTTGGAACATTTATTAGACACCTTGGGAGCAGAGAAATAAAAGAAGCACCTGGATGCCAGTCTCACTAGTTTAGTGTTCTCAAAACCTTTTCACATGCTTCGTATCTTGATGAAAGCACAGCTAACACATAAACCAGTTATTCTCAAACATTTTTAATATTGTTTAACAACAAATTCACGCTGTGACCATTCATGATCAATGCATACATACAACTACACAGGTCATCAGCATGCACTTGTAAGGGGAATATTAGCAAGGTTGCACAATTAACTTTGATAATTAACACAATTAATTTACATGTTAAATTATAATAGGGATTAAATAGCATGGCATTGTTTTTGTTTTGACTACTATTTTAACATGTTACACATACCTATAAAGTAAGACAAGGCTGTATTGTTATCCAAAATAACTTGAAGTGGAAGATTGGGCAGAGACTGATTGGGTGACAGAAGTTTGCTTAATTCGTCAAGCTGATCCTGTTGAATAACCAATACATAAGATGATCATGGCCATTTATGACAATCAAAACAATTGCAAGTTAAAAAAACATGTCGGAAACTGCACTGCAGTCTCTTTCTTCTGAAATAATTATGTTATACTTTGGAGCTGTTCCTGTTTTGGTTTGTATAGTAACTGGAACAACTTCAAACTAAAAAACCCCTTTTTTATGTTGTCTTACTTTCAATTACAAGACATGAATAACACCGGTAAGTTACTTAACACTCACAAGTTTGTGCTTTAATGCACTTAAAGCCATTATCCATGATTTGAGTTCCAACTTAACCTGTCTTGCAATCATTAAAACATACAAATTCTAACACTTAGTATAATTTGCCCCCAAAATACATACAGGGTCACAGCCAAATGTAGATTGCCAAACAAACATCAAACAAAACTCTCCTCGTATCAACACAAAATTAATGTTAAATCTTTAATTTTCCCCAATACAATTTCTTGAAAGTTTAATATCCTATGAATTATACATAAAAGGGATATTCCCACCTCTTAAAAAAACCTAGCAACAACAATCTTAATCCCTTAGCCTTGGTGCATCAACTGAAAGGGTCATGCTTCAGATATTTATGCATAGACTGAATAAAATTCCAGAAGACAGACCTCTAGGCACTGCGACAATTCTCAAAGCTTTTCTCCAATAATTTTGTTTTAATTGATGATTGTCTTGCTATTTCATGATTAATTTATCTTTTTTGCTCCAAAAGAGACTTGAGCTTGGTTAGATATCTTGAACCACTCAAAATTATACATTACTACAAGCACCAATGGCAGTAATAGCAAATTAATGATACATTTCCTGTTTTACTTACCAAAGGCAGTAAAGGTAGTTCTCCAATACCATACTTTAAAGTCCTAATTTTTGCTTCACAAATATTCTTAACAAAGATAAGGCTGCTTAATTGTTGTCTCACTGGAGCATCAGCTGCATCTGTAGATTAATTATAATTTTATAAAAGTTATCCACAAGCAGTGACAAATCTGGAACAAAATTGTTGTTGTTAATAATTATCCTTGTTATAATTACCATATTCAACTAAAAAAAATTATTACTAAGCACAATAAGAACCAAAATTTCACTTAACCATGTTTTCTGGATACCTGATGTCTCTGAATCATGTGCTCTTAACTTGGCAATCTCCAAGTCAACTTTATCTTTGGTTCCCTCAACATCTTCTACAGCAGTGATACCTTCCCTTAAAGGCAAACTCTGACAGCATGAATTAAACTGGTTGTTTATATGTCTGATAAAGTACATTCTGTTAATTTTTTAGAAGCAAAATAGCACAAAAAGCAGCAAATGACATTTGGAAAGATGTACTATAACAACAATTTGTATTCTATCCAGCCAAATAATGAGCCATATCACACAAAACATGATGTCAGAGGGCTTATAACAGGCTTTTTATCCAGAATTCAATAGTTTAAAAATGTGGTGGTGGATAACTTTGTTATTATACACAACAACTTTAAGAAAGCTTCCAATATTCCCATGAAGGTCTTCACAACCTCACCTGATCACTGTCATGAATGCTTCTTTAGTAAATGTAGAGTCTTTGCACTACACAAAAAGAAGGTGACTTGATGTTACCAATCAGTGTAAGTTGTACTAAGCAAAGAGAGGGGTAACTATCAACCTATGAGTCAATCTGTGTTACATTGGGTTAAACACAGGGTTATTTTACAGTCTATCAGTGAAGATCACTTCACCAGACTGGTGACTTGATATCATTTACTGGCCAAGTACCAAGTAGTACTTTACTTCATATTCACAGTTTCTTGAAATTAAAAGCTGCTGTTCTTTCTTACAGTAGATAATTTGATGCAGGTTGATTTGTCTACATGTCAGAACTGTATGTGTATTGTGTATTTCAACTAACCAGCCAAGCTAATGTCTGGTTTATGTAGTCTGGGTCACAAATCATTGACACTGTTGGAAAAAGCACACAAGTGGCAATCATTTCCTAATGGGAGAAGATTAAAAGAATTAAATTTTGCAACAAAAGTACATGTAAAAGCATGTAGTTAAGGCTTGTGATTCATTTTGAGATTGTGGGCCTGAACAAACTTTAGATGCTGCTGCTATTATAGCTGTTGATACTCTTATTGTTTCTACTGAGTACTTATCCCAGCTGTCATAGTGTAACCTGCAGAAATAATTTATGCTTCACAAGTGCTACACACTTTGATAGTGTATCAAGCTGTATATCAAGAAAATGTTTTTTGTCTTGTCACAAGCATGGAACAAAGAAAAAATTCCCCGTGAGGAATTTGGATTCTGCCCTCTAATGCTTGATACAGAGATTCTGTGGTGCCCAAATCCCATTATGAAGTTCATATATGACACCCATCCTGCTTATGTACTATGCATGTGTATAATTATTATACAAAAATTAGGTATATTTAAATCTATTTTTAACTCGTATCAGATGGTCATTTGACTTTTTCAGTGTTTCTGTGAAAAACAATTCTCCTAAAATGCATTCCTGTTTCTAAACTTCAATGCACATTTCTGCCCTAGTCCACATGGTTGGACTATCCCAATGTTGTTTTTCAAGGTTTTGAATGCTAGGTGTCCAAACGTGTATCATTCTGAATTAAAATCACTTATTTCCTGAACCAAGACAAAGCTCTCTGTTGTTGCTGTATGTTTATCCCACAAAAATGCATGTGAAAAAGTAAAGCTTGCTACATTTAAGATGCTGATGCTGATGCTGAAGCTGAAAGTGGAGGCCAACAGTGAATCTAGGATGAGTAACAACTACTGTAACATTAACAAGTACACTACACAATGCACTTAACTCATTTTTCTAGGCATCCTCTAGAAAGATCAATATTGTGCTAGCTTTTCCTATGGCTTATATAAAGCCTAACTTGACACTCCAGGTGCCAGATTTTTTAAAAGTTGCCATTTGATAACCAAAAATCAAAAATATTTTCTTCTTCCTTCCCTGACAACCAAACAAATTGTAGCCCATAACACTCCAAGGCCTTCAGTAAGAATTAAATTTTCTCACCCTGAAAAAGTATCTGAATGGATTGTTGTGAAAGTCTTCAGGGGGCAACAGCAGATAAAGCAGCATTTCACTGATGTCTGAGAGGTAGTCTGAAAGAAACAGTTTGTCCATGAAATGATAATGCAAATTTATTGCTGTTGAGAAAACCATTCTGAACTGTTCAATTAATTTGAGAGTTTAAATGGTCTGTACAATGGGTCATTACAGCTGAAGTAACTGAGCTTTCCTCTTTGAAATGTTGTCCATTTACCCTTTTCCATCTTTTGCCCTGTACTCATACAAACAAGACCTTATTGTATGGTTATATTTAGTGATCATCTATTGCTTACAATATTTTGCCAACAATACCATGGCTCTTCTGTTACTTTGGGGGTTCCTTTTCCAAGGGTTGACAAGAGTTGGTAACTTACATGGCATTGCATAGCAACTGTGGGGTGATAGCAGTGAGCCAGACATATGTATAAGGAAATCTTGTTAAAAGATCCAGTGGGATGATTTGCTTGACTGACTATAGAAAAGGCAGTGTTTTATGAAACCACACAGCAGTACCTTTTTCTTTTCCCTCTGACAAACAGATTTGCTCTCTACATATTTCTCCTTCCATTTCATATTCAACTTCAAAGAATGCGGTTTCTATATCAAGTGAAGTATTATCATCAGCTAAGAAAGAAAAGAATCAAAACGACTCCATTTAATAACTGTTATAATAAATCCAACTTGCATGAGTCCTCCACAAGGAACCCTTGCACATTGTACCCTGCATGCTTAAAAAGTAAGGATGATAAACTGAATATCCTTTACCACTGATACAATCTGGTTTATTGCACTCAATATTAATTCTGTGTTACTTGATGCAAGTTCTGTAGTATAAGAAATCATCAAAACTGGTTCATACCAGATGAAATTGGCATGATACTCATTTACATGAGAATGAACCCAAGAATGTTTACAAATGGAATCAAACTGATGTGATGAGTGGACAGTGTGGCACTAAAAAATCTTATTTCAAAGGTCCTTTTCTAATGAATGATGACCAGTATAGATGATTTTCCCAAAAGGATGAAGGAAAAAATCTCTAAGAAATATCATGTAGTTTGATATGGGATACAAGGATAAAAAAGTAACAATTATAAGGTAATGTTTTGACATTGTGTCTGTCCAACAGAAATGTTCATATATAAAAAAGGTTAGTGTACAATCTGTTTATAAGGTAATAAATGATCACAACACATCAATATTAATTCACAAATTTACCTTTTTCTAATCTCTGTTTTGTCTTGCGATATATTTTCAAATGATTTGTGATGTCATCAACAAATCGTGTTGTTAAGAAATTGACCCATTCAACATCTTTGGACCTGAAAATATAATTTTGAAAAATATCTAACTGACTGACATCTAAAAAGCCTTGACCTTTTCAAAGTTAAATGGAGGGAGAGAAGAGACATTTCCATCAATAATACAATAAAGAGTTTAAATTGATAAAAATCCAATCTTTCATGATCAAACTCATTGCCCACTCCATCAACACTTGAGAAAAATTAAAGCTTTTGAAAAACCACTAGCCATTCAAAGATGTCGGATTCAAACACTATGAAAGAATTTGCCTTGACTTGTGGATTAAGTGAGGATAATACAAATTATGAATAATTAAATTTGACTTAACAACTTTTCAGACCACAATTCTTCACAACAAAAATTGATTGAACAGACATGAGATCTGACTTATCAGAAATTTTGTTTCTCTGATAACTATTCTTAGCCCTAAACCTTTGTGTTAATCTTATCCCACACACATGCATGCATGCACGCATGCACACACGCACACACACACACACACACGCACACATACACACACATGCACGCACACACGCACACACGCACGCACACACACACACACACCTGTTTGCAAAAGCTACCAGTGCTCTCTGCAGAGTCTGCCTAAGGTCATAAAGGAAGCCTTCATCTGTACTAATGCTGTTGTAATACCAATCATGCACATAATCACGAAAGAAGAGCTGTAAAACCTGTAAGTGGAAATAAGAATGAAATATAAAAAAATTGTCCTCAGTTGAGATTTGAGTGTCATAAGGGTAACCTGCAAATCTCCAGCAACTACTGGTCATGAGTGTCTATTTACTGGCTCAGAGAAAGCTGACAAGTATACAATCATGGATGTAACACAGCTTATGTTAACAGTCAAACCCTACCGTTTGAGCCAAAAACAACTAAGCATGCAAAAACATGTTGTACTCTCCCTTTATATATCATACTCTTCCTGTTAGGGTCAAATCCCTCACACAACCAAGCTCATCATTATGAACAGAAAAAATCTAAAAGGCACTTTCTAATTTACTTTCTCAAGAAATAAAGTAAAACTGCTCTTCAGGTTTGTACATGATTAATTCAGATTTATTGTTTCACCTTTGCAACTTTTGTTCTTTTATAATCATTATGGTAGTGGAGGCTAATTTGGTGAATTTCAAGAATTTTGGGAATATAATGTCTCATCACAGATTTGGTGCAATGACTTCATACATCCTACATATAATCTGGAGAAGAAAAAATTATTTTCATAAGTGAATCTCTAAATCTAAACCAATTTACACTACTGAAAATGCAAAAAGATAACAATAACAAAGATTTTCAGCAATGTCCACCAAATAAAATTTTATTTTGACAATTTTATCATCAGAAGATGAAAAAAAAGGTTGAAATCCAATACCTTCTCATTCAGTCAATTTGTGGCAGACAGTGTGGGGGACTCCCCTATACATTTTCCTCATCAAAAGTAGTTTTGGTTTGCAAAGTTTCAGATCAAAAGAATAACTCCTGCCCAAGATGATGCTGTTGCAATAGCATGACATGACGTAGCTGCACTAATTAATTTGTGAAAAGGGGCAATACTTTGGCAGAATTTGTCACAGAACCCATGTCTACATTCCTTCCTTCAGTCACCCTCTTGTGTTAGCCAGTGATGCATGGCTGTATCCAAAGAAAATACTGCATGAACCTCAAACACCATACACTAGACCAAGATCGTATCCCTATTTTTCCCCAACTGTCGTTCTTTGAAACGAAACTTCTCTGTATTGCATGTATTTTGAAAACAACATGCAATACAGTTTTAAAATAAAAGCATTCCAAATGGGTCAAGTTAGTCTCCAGTAACACCTTAATGCACACCAACACTTTTTAACAAAAATTAAAGGGCCAGAGACTAGTACTAAAAGTATGGTGACCTTGGAATTTTGAGTATAATCTACAACTGTCATCAGCATTAATTTGCTGCCAATCGCTCATAATATTTTCTCACCATTATTTAACTTAAGATTGGAAAGCACTCTAATTGTTGTAAAAGAAATAGTTTTTTAAATATGAATTTGAAATCCTCATAGTGATTCTGGTATTCAAAATCATAAAATTTGTCATTGTAATTAAGTATCTCAAGACAATAAAATAGTTAGAGAAACAGAACCACCCCATTAAAAAGCAAGAAATATAGAACTTTGCGAATGATTAAAAAATATGTAACTCTTGAATGATGAAAAATTAGATCTGGGGAACCAAATTAAATTCCAAGATTAACTGTAATGGCCCTTAGCCTAAATGTAGCCATATCCTACTCCTAAATGAGAAATAGAAGGGAGGGAATGGCTACACATAGGCTAAACATACCTATAATTGTTTTCAAGACATTTTTGGTTACATTGCAATGAAGAGTTCATTTTTATGTAGACTATAATGACCATGTTCCATTTCATTTGCACAAAAAACTTTCTGTGGGAAATCAATTGAAACAGCCCGTTCCACCTTAATATTTTAGAAAGCATTCAGCAATATTCTGTTTCTATTTTCTTGTTTTATAAGTTTCCTTAACCCCTAAAGTACCATTTTAATGACTAAATGTGCTGTTTCTGCCTACCATTCCATATCTAAGGAAACGAATATAGTAGTTTATAGAATATGACCTTATACCTCTTGTAATGGTTCATCAATGATGTTGGAACCAGTCAGCCGCTTGTCCATTTTGAGTGCAATTCTACTCAGCTGGATTTCATGGATTACTTTTCCAAGTCCCTTTGACATGGGACCAAAGTCTCCTTCCAAGGTGCTTTTCCTCATCTCTTGTGACATTAAATAGCCCCAGTAGCCGAGGACCATCACAAATCTATCAACAAGCCAAGAAAACAGCATTTAACCTTCTCAAATGTTGTAAAACAAATTCCAGAACATACGTCATCACACCAAGTATTTTAAGCAAGTGAAAGATAATAAAAACTATTTCGTTTTGTATAAAACATTATTTCTCTTGAAGGCTTTGGTACCAACTGTTTCATCATAGTCTATGTGAGCAACAAAATCAGCATGTGCTTACAACCAGTGTTCACAAGCTGAAAGAATTGGGAACTTATTGAAACCCAGGGATTAGAACTCAAAAATTGTCAACAAGTAATGCATTGTGAACCTTTTTAAATGTGGTCTATATAATGTGGACTATGTTGGATACACCAACTAACACACATCAGTGCAATGCCAAATACAGTAACCTACATGTAAATCTGTCCACTGGGAAACAAATTTTTAATTCCCACAGGATTGATAAACTGGTTGTCTCACATCCACTCCAATTGTCACATTCTTGGAGTACAAAGGTAGGTCAGAATCATTCGACAAAATTAATAACAACTATACTTACCCAAAAACAAACAGCAAGGCATATAACAGAAGAAAGCATGTCCACCACACTCCAAAAGTTGTAAGAAACAAACCAAAAACCAATACAATCCAGCCCACCTTGTGGATGTGGAGCTAAATGTAACAAAGAAATTTTCTCGCAGATTAGACCAAAATCTTAAATACTGGTATTTCAACTAACCATGCACATCAGTTCTGTTCAAACAACTCTGCAGCAAGTAAACATTAGAATATTTGATTAACTTTCTGCTTCCAAAACTGGATGACTTGGAATTTCTGTGAAATCCTTGTCACCAACAAACTGGTTAAAATAAACTATACGCTGCCCCAAAGGATGCACGAGTCATGATTAGTGCCAGTGCTGTTACTACTTTTTAGTGGGAAATGAACCATACTCGAATGGCGGCTCGGTGAAACACTTGGTTTATTATAAAATAGAAGTCAATAAAGGCAAACAAACCGCGACAAGTTATTTCGCAAAGCTGACGTTTCGAACCCTCGCATTTTATTGGACCAAAGTGCTCATTGTTAAATTAATGTAGCTATAAAGTTCAAGACATTTCAACACTACCTGAGTTAACATTGAAAACCCAGATTTGTGTGCCAAGGCCTGATTAAAATTGTTATCAGTATGACTCAGAATCTGCATTCATGGCAAAATTCACCCAAATATGAAATCGACAAATTTTCGATTTTGTTCATAATTATTGTTTCGAAATCTTAAATCAGCTGATGTGTTACAAACCTGAAGAGCTTCCATTCTTAGCAGTCCCTTACACAAACAATTGAGGTGGAAGAATGGCAGCACGCGATCATGCGAAACTACTGATGCCAAGGACCTTTCTTAAACATAAAAACTTCACAAACCATCACACGAAGAGTCAGTGTTCAAACGAAAACATTCAGTAAGTATCTCACTGTCTCAGTTGCAATCGACTTCTAGGCGCCTACAAAATTATGGTCAGCAACAAGGCTTTGGAAAGATATAGCATATAAGGCTTGCACAAAGTATCCTTTTTGAAAGAGAGATGGACATCTTGCCATCGCTCTCTGCTTCTGAGGCAATCGTTACTAGGGCTCTTTTTTTTTTAGTATTAAAGGAAAAATAATATTCCAAACACCACAGAGTATATCAAAGCAACCTATGGGCTAGGGTTGATGTGCACAGGCTTTTGGATGGAAGTCCCAAAATTATGTATAAAAACCCACAAAGAAAAGTTCCCGTAACTTGCGGATATACGATGAGTAAAATTTTACAGTTTAATCAAAATAAATGTTTAGAAAAACCAATTGTAAATGAAAAAGAAAGAGAAATGGGTCCGCTATTCTTGGCTACTTGAATTTATAGTATTTCTTCCCCATCATAAACGGTTGTGGCTCGGTGGCCAAGTGGTAAGGCGTCGGTCTCGTACATCACTACAGTCAACCGAAGATCGCGGGTTCGATCCCCGTCCGGGCCTGACACCAATTTTTTCCTTTTTTCTTCTTTTCTTTTCCTCTTATTGAACTTTCAAAGAAGATTCCTGTAATACAATATCAAGAATTATTTATAAGATTTTTTCGTTCACTTGTTTTGTTAAATTGTTCGTCTCATACCCAGGCTCTTCTCATGTACACCTAGCATGCTCTATCCTCGGAGACCCAGGGGCTGTGAGTCGATTTCAAGCTACGGCGGAAGAGCCCCTGGGGACATTGTCTTACAAGACTAGTTCCAAACGGTCGCAGTCGTTCTGGCATCTGATTGGTGCCAGAAAATCTTTGTGTTTTTCTGCCCAATAAGAGTGAAGTATGCTTTAGAGTCCTTTCGTGTGTCTTAACACATATGCAAGAAGCTCAGTTGCTCGCCATGTTTGATTGGCCCGTGCGACGGAGCTTTGCTCGAGGTGAAAGGTTTCAGTCTCAGCACACAATGTAAGAGAAATCGATCAGATTGTCCGCAAAAATCTTACCGGAAATTATACTGAATAATTTCGCAGGTATCACAAGAGAACGTGTTTAAAAGTTTGCGAGGTTCGTTTAAAACATAATGGTTGCAGGCGTTAATATGCCGCTTTAAACGATAGATAAGATGTAAGCTGAAATCTTTCTAGATATTTTGTACAATTTACTGGTACCGAAACTTTGCCAATCCCGTGAAGTTGTTTCGTCGCACGGGCCACGCAGGTATGTCGAGCAACTGGCGCTTACATCTTTCTGTGCGCGCCAAAATCTAATCTCCTAGGGCTAGTTGTTTAGGCAAGGTTCAGTGTGTTTTATTACGACAATGAATAATCCGGGTGAAAATGTTTCAAATCGTTGTCGAGTATGCTGTTCTGTTTTTATCACCATTAAGAGAAAAAGAAATCTTAATGGCGAGTTCATGAAAATATTTGAAGAAGTTTTCAATCAAAAGGTTTTACCAGACGATGGTCTTCCGCGTGCAGTTTGGGACACTTGTCGCATTAGAATTGAAACATCCTGGAAACGTAATTGTAACAAAGAGGCATCGATAAAAACTTCCCGTGGGAAGAGTACCCAAACAAGAAAATCGAATTGTTGCTGTTTTCCAGTTTCTACTAGAAGAACATTTGTCAAGGTATGCACAAATGAAATACAACCTATGTTGAAAAAAAAAGAAAAGCTAAGCGTGGAAACTTTTGTTAATTAGAAGTGGGTAGATGACCCTGTACTAAGCTGACAATTACCGTGTAAAGCAAACCCACCCTTTCCATCCAATATTTCTTGGTCTTTTGGTTTTGTTTTCCCCAATGAAAGCAGCATCGATTCCCAATGATCTAAGGTATTTAACTTGGTCTTCAACAATCGACAGAAGAGGTGAAATGACAATGACCAAGGGACTAGAAGAGAATCCGTGGCCTTTTGAGCTCAAGAATTTGAACACTCTAGGCCGCAGTTGAAAGATTAAACTCTTTCCAAACCCCATCGGCTACTGTCCGATGGCATCTCTCCTTCCCACGATGTTCTCGATAATACTTTTTGTTCAGATTTTAATTCGCTAACCGAAAACACAGCTAAGCTTTCTCTAAGCGATTGCTGGAGGTCGTCCACGAACTTAACGTCCTCTGCAACCTTGGACCATATTGTGAAAGACTTTGATACGAAGCGAAGGTTAGATTTTGGCGCGCACAGAAAGCTAAGTAAGCGTAAGCGCCAGTTGCTCAACATACCTGCGTGGCCAGTGCGACAAAATAACTTCACGGGAATGGCAAAGTTTCAGTAACAGCAAATTAGACAAAAAGTCTAGAAAAATTTCAGCTTTCATCTCGTTTAACGTTTAAAGCGACATATTAACGCCTGCAACCATTATGTTTTATACGAACCTCGCAAACTTTCAAACACGTTCTCTTGCTCTTGTGATACCTGCGAAAGTATTCAGTATAATTTCTGGTCAGAATTTTGCGGACAATCTGATCGATTTCTCTTACATTGTGTGCTCGGTGAGACTGAAACTTTTCACCTCGAGCAGAGCTCCTCCGCACCTCGCGGCCACGGCCCAAGCAAACATGGCGAGCAACTAAGCTTCTTGTCTATCTCCGTGTTAAAACACACGAAAGCACACTTCACTCTGATTGGGCAGAAAAACACAAAGATTTTCTGGCACCAATCAGATGCCAGAACGACTGCGATCGCTTGGAATTAGTCTTGTAAGACAATGTCCCCAGGGGCTCTTCCGCCGTAACTTGAAATCGACTCACAGCCCCTGGGTCTATGAGGATGAGCATGCTCAAGCTTGAGTAGCCCAAAAGAAAAGGGAACTTTATTTTGGAAGTATCCAGCAAGTGTTACAGGCACCATGCCAAGGATGTCCCAAACATCCAATAATAAATAATAATCATAACCTGTAAATAAAAAACTTAACCTTGAGCCAAAGCCTAAAAGGAATTGATGACGATTGTTAAATTAAAAGACAAGTTAGATACTTAGCTGAAAGGATCGAAACGAGATTAGTTATCCTCACTGGAAATTCAAAAACTTATCGACTCGTAAGAAACATGTGGACAGGGAAATTTTTAGAAAATTAAATCATATGCAAGAAGTGGTGGTCTGTAACTAACCATCTATTTTCAAATAATAATAATAATAATAATGATAATGATAACAATAACAAGCCTATGACAGTGTGGATCATGGATGGTTAAGGGAGATGTTTACGATGACTTTGCAAGGTCATTCACAAGCTTAGTGCCAGCTGGAACACCAGAATATTAGTGCGCACAGCCCAAGGCATGGAGACATCGGAGGTGATAACGTTTAGGAGGGGACTACCGCAGGATGACGCCCTTTGCCCCAGGCTCTTCATGTTATGTATGAACCCGGTTTCGTGGATGTTGAAAGTGACTGAAGGCTACAGATTATCTAAGCCGATCGGACAGGTGGTAACTCATCTTTTGTATATAGATGATTTAAAGATCTTTGCAGCGTCAAGAGAGAAGCTAAGGAGGGTTATAGTTGCTGTGAGAGGAGCGATGAAGGACATAGGACTTGAGTGGAACAAAAGAAAGTGCTCAGTGGCCCATGTGGAAACAGGGACATTGGAATCAGAAAAGCCAGTGAGTGTTGGGGACAGCGAGAGGGTGGTTATCAAGAGTTTGGGTGAGGGGTCTCATTACAAGTTCCTTGGAGTTACGGAAAGCATTAAACAGGATGATAATCTCAGTCTCGTGATCGCAGGCAAGAATTATTTACAACGTCTATTTTTGATATGGACTAGCCCACTCTCAGACTACAACAAGGTGCAGGCTTCAAATCAGTTTGCGATGCCGGTGCTAAGCTACTTGATGCCACCCAGTGCTGGCCCATAGCGGAACTCAAGAGGCTGGACAGAGAAGCAAGAGAGGTTATCGTTGAGAATGGGGGGAAGCACCCTCTTGGGTCTACAGCCCTAGTATATCTACCGAGGGGGCTTGGGGGCCGTGGGCTGAACAGTGTTGAACGAGAGTACAAGCAAGCTAAGATTAAGGCTGCAGTAAGACTCTCTACTAATGAAGATCCCGCTGTGGAGGTAGTAAGGCGATTTCAGGAGAGATCAGAGGAGATGGGCCAGCGATCAAGGGTGAAGGATGCCAAGAAATATATATCTGAGTTTGGGCTCAACTTGTCTCTGGTGCATCCCCAACCATTAGTCACATGTCTAACAAACGATTTGAAAGTACCTGGGAAGAAGATTGGGATGTGGTTGAAGACTGTTGCCAAGGAAAGGGATGTTGAGGAACTGAGAGCAGAGGGATGGCAAGGACCTTTGTTAACTGAGAGATGGGAGGATCAAGAAGTTGGAGGTGAATGGTGTTCTTCGATGAGCGAGTGCAAGACTGCGCCGACTCACACCATAGCGGGACTGCTGGAGCTATACCAGCAACTCCTACCAACGAAAGTCTATCACCAGAAAAGGAGAGGGACTCACACGAGTGAGGATGTGAAGTGCCGCATGTGTGGTAAGACCGCTGAAACGCAAGCGCACGTGCTAGCAGGTTGTGGAGTGCTAGCCCATTCTAAATACATTATTCGGCATAATGCAGCACTTAAGTAAATTTTCTACGAACTCTTGAAAGATCTAGACTTAGTGACAACAGTACCACCGTGGTACTCTCAGAACATGCCGAAGCCACTTTACGAGAACAAGAGAGGAAAGGCATTCTGGGACATACCACTATATGCAGAACACGTGGAGGTGAGAAACAACAGCATAGACTGTACGGTTATAGAAAAGGAGAGGAAGAAAGTAGTGTTACTTGAAACGAGCTGTCCATGGGTCTGTAATAGAGAGATCAAATGTGCAGAGAAGACGAACAAGTACGCCCCGCTGCGGTACGAATTAAGAAGCAGATATCCAGAGTACAAGATTGAGCAGCATAGCATAATAGACGCACTTGAAGGGAGCTCGTGAAGGGTCAAGGAAAGCATACGCCAAACTGGTTGGAAGTGGCCGATGTCATTCAG